CATATTGATAGGAATTGATGGTCATATTTACTCATTATTCATTTTAGTCTATAATCTAAATTGCTTCTTCAATAAACTCATGGTTAATCATTTACTGACTGCCACTTGCGTAATGTACTACTAAATGGTGATTCAAAACATACGTAGTAATGCCATTGTCACGACACGATAGGTACATATTAAAATATACTATCCTAAGAACATATTGCTAAAAATTGGCAAATGTTGTAAGACTAAAGGAAGAGATATTACTATATTCGAAAAATCTGTCTATAAATAGCAAAATTTAGGAAAAAGACAATTTGGAAAAACTATAAAAACAAGAAGGGTATAGAAAATAAGGTAGACCATTTTTAAACAGAGAAAAAAGAGGAAAGCGACGTTGTCTGAAGGAAACAAAATCTTTACCCTACCTAGAGAAAAAACAGCTCTACTTGCATTGCATTCAACCAGGATGTAAAGCGGCATGGTTATTCATAAAGTAACTAGCGCTATTGGTGTCACTTATCATTTATATGGTATTTATATAAGAACAATTGCACCTGAACTAGAAGTGAAAGTAGGGACGTGGCATTGTCCCTCTTCTATATAGCATCAGTGGCACTAGCTCCAGTATCATCTTTTATAATAGATGCAGCAAAGGTATTGTCCCGTTTGAAACCAGAACCCCGGACAGCACCTTCGGTATCACCTTCACCAATAGGTTTGGGTGTTGCTCTCTTGATAGCAGCAACCGAAACGCTATTTTACAGCGTCACCTTCTGCATTACAATCCATGAGAATAAGTAAAAGAAACTCCCAGAGCCATCAATATAAGGCTAATCAAATACGTGCACATTTTTTGTTCTGCAGAATTATGAATGAAAATAAAAAAAGATGTGAAAATGTATTGTAATAAAGAAGGATGACTTTGATGGAATATAAATTCACAACGAAAATGTCCCATCTTTTTATACTCAAATCACATGTCGCAATTCAAATTTCATCTGATCATTGCTGAAAGAAAGCGCTAAAAATGACTCGATTGCAATATTTTGCTTCGAGAATAAATATGATCAAAACGTCCGCGTTGTCACTATTAATAATATCTAATCTAATATCTAATATCTAATCTGATATCTATATCTAAGCTCATAATACATAATATATGATCTGTATGGACACGCGATGTGGAGTTGTACTATTTCATTTGGTTCGATGAACAATGTAGCCGAAAAATATACTCAATCGTTTCTGTGCTTACAACACCATCGTTTTAGTCAGCAAACATGAATACAGACACCTCTGATTAGGATAAAATAAAAGTAATATAAGGAAAGCAAATTTGCTAAGTACATCCAACATTGTCAGGAAAATGACACAGCTTACTCTCTTTTCTTGCAGAGGAAGTCCAAATCCTTGGAAAGTAGTCATCGCTTTGAAAGAATGAAACCTTTCATACAAAACAGTACTTTACGATGTTGGAAAAAATGAGAAAAAAAACGAACAACATCTTGATTACAACCCTAATGGTAGAGTTCCTACATTAATTGATCATCAAAAAAATGATTATGCGATTTGGGAGTCGGATGCTATTTTGGCATACTTGACAGACAAGTTTGACAAGGAAAGAAAGATTTCTTTACCTCATGATCATCCAGACAGGGTGCCATTTGGGGACAAGCAGGCTGGTTAAACTTTTTTCATCCAGAACCTGTTGCGTCGGCCGTTACTAGATACAGAAACGAAACAAAGCGTGTGCTCGGTGTTTTAGAAAGAATTCTCCAAGACAAGGACTATCTCGTTGCTGACAAGTACACAATCGCCGACGTGGCTTTTATTAACTGGAACAGTATGCTACCTCCGCTTTTTGGAAAAGGAAGGCATGAATTCAAAGAAGATCTTCCACAATTGGATTTCGAAAAGGAGTTTCCCAAGACCTATGCTTGGCATCAAAGTCTTACGGAACGTCCTGCTGTTGCTGCCACCCTGAAGGAATGGGAACAATCTCGTCAACAATAAGGCACTTAGGAGGCATGCTTCATCAGCTATCCTTCTTTTTAATAGCAAGCGTGTTTTTCAATACTCTAGTATTCCACAGTATTCTAACAATATAATAACGTAAAATTACAACATATGGATATTAATGAACAGCCTTGTTTTACTTTTCGCTTTCGATATATAACGGGAGGGACGTAATTATTAAATGTATGGAAATGTGCTTATTTTTAAGGGGGGTTCCACTAAAAACGGTTTAAGGAAATCCCAAGTGAGTTGACATAAACAAGCAGCGAATTTGTTATTAATATGGGAGAAATCTCACACGTTCGAGTGGAAGTAATAAGTACAGTTACGGAATTGTATATTTATACTGAGCAACAAAGTACTATGTAAAAGAATAGTAATAGATCCAGGGAACTGATTAACTATATGAAAGGATTTAGCCTGATCAGTCAAATCTTCCGATCTAAAGATTCTGAATGACAATGTGTTTCGAAAAGGATTGCAAGGAAGATAATATATCTTTACTATAGCATACTTAATTATCAACTAACATTTGCTATTTATCCTCTCTTCCAAAAAGCATAATATTAAGGTTACATTTAAAAAATAATTTGCCAACCAGTTGACTTCACTACGAAAGCAAAATATAATTGTTACCACAGTTTGCTCGGTAGCTTAGCATAACTTTCTTTTTATCTATGTAAAGCATTAAGAATCGAAAGGCAACATTGATTACCATACTACTCAAACCGATGTATTAAATAGCCTTTCCACATGTCATGTCGTCATAAACACGAATTTCAGATCAAAGAAACGGGACGTCTCTTTTCTTCTGCTTTGAGATCAAATTGCAATTCCTTGCCATAATTTGCGAAAGTGTTATAACCATAGTTGTTAGTAGCATAGAACAAAGAACGAACGTAAGGAGTAAGCTCAAGACCTTTCTTTAATCTCTCAATTAAATCTGGATTTGATGTAAAATATCTCGAGAATCCAATCATAGTACGGTTGTCAACATTAACATCAGCCTTCAATAACTTAAACTCAGGACTGTCATAAGTATAATTACCACTATGCAAAATGGCTCCTTTCCACAATTTCTTGATAAAGTCGTTGGAACCAACAATGTCAGATGCGTTGACATCAAAAATTCCTTGGACCCTAGGTTCCACAAGGGAAAGATAAGCAAGCTGCTTACCATTGTTTGCACGCTTCTGAAGCTCATTTACAATATAACTAAATGTCGTAATAGGATGTACAGTATCTTCTTCAGCTTTCATTCCTTGGAATTTAGCCCAAGGAGACAATCTGATTGCAAGCTTTTCAGCGCCGATTGTGTCACTTAAGAGGTCAATAATTTCAAGAACGATTCTTGCGCGTTTTTCAATAGAGCCACCATAGTTATCTGTTCTTTGATTCGTAGCGGGCTGTAGGAATTGATCAAGCATGTATCCATGTGCACTATGAATTTCCACGTAATCAAATCCAGCTTCCATAGCATTGATTGCTGCATTCTTGTAATCTTCATAAATAATGCCCTTGATTTCTTCTTCAGTCAATG